TCGGCCGGGGATCGAACTCGGATCTCTTGTATTTTTAGTAATGGAGTAAAAATAAAATCAAACTCGAGGACGAAACATGAGCTTTGAAAAACATATGAAAAATCGAGACGATTCAATTTTAGTGCTTTTGCGGGAAAAGTTGGAAGTATATACCACATGATGACGCGTACGGAATACATATGTATGCTCGTTTTATTTTTAATGCAGAAATTTTAATTTGTATAAAATTTCATTTTATTTGATTAAATAGTAAATGCATCATATTTATTGAAAAATACATACATTTATATTATACATAGTTACAAATTATCATTAAATTACCGTTTTTTAATTTACCGACATCAAAAAACTTTAAAATTAAAAAAAAAAATCAAATGGGATTTGGACGACAACTTTCCTTCTCAGAATATATTCTACATATGAAAATACACAAATTTACAGAATTACAGGAAAATGGGAGGAAAAATATTTTTCAAATCCTCTAAATTGATAGTTTTATCCAACAGGAGCGCTCGAATTTATTCTTCCATATAACGCTTTTCCGAAGTCAGAAATCGAGTTCAACTTTTTCGTGACCGGCCGCTTGAGTTTGAGTCTCCTTTTTACTCCGTACTTCAAACTACCGAAGCCTCGGCAGTCGACTCCTCCGCCGCCCTCCCCATCGTAACCACCTCTGTATGTGAATTTGCATGCGCCTTCACTATTAGAGACATTTTGCATCATCACACACCTCCTACGATAAAAAGTCGTCTTTTTCTCAAGATAGGAAGAACTTCATATTCCGAAACACACACGACAAAATTATAATTGAAAAAGAACCGTTTTCCCCCCTCAGAATTAATTTTCTTATTTTCCTAAGCGGTCACCCATCCAATCCTGTACCCTATCTAACGGTGCTGAACCTCTACAATCATACGAGAACTGTTGCTTCAGTGATCTACGAACACTGAGGCCGGAATCCATAGTCCGGTCTTAATCTCAAGCAATGTCTTAAGATGCTAATACGGCTCTCTGATTGGTTCAAGCACTAGCTTAAGACCATCTCGAGTCTTGAGCAACGTCTATGGATTCCTGAATATTAGTGGATGTGACATACAATCTATCTATCTAAATAACTGTGACATATAATCGATATACAGGGTGTTTCCAAATTAAATGGCAAAACTTCGGGAGCGTGTAGAGGAGTAAAAAACTAAGAAAAAAAGTCCTATAGACATATGCTCGTTTTTGCTCCGTTTCAGAGAAATCGAAAAAAAATGTTTACATTTCTTGCCATATCTAGCACCGACATATTTGATTACATTTTCCACTTTCTGTTATGAATTTGTCAGTCGCTCTTTGAAAGCCTTTAACAGTAGATGAATTTTGTCTTTTGCAATATGCCGCGTACGTATTCTAATAGTGAATATGCTGATATGGTTTTTGTATACGGTTTCTGCAACGGTAATGCTTTAAAGGCGGTGCGAGAATATGCACGACGATTTCCAAACAGAAGAGTGCCAAACCGAAGAGTGTTTATGTTGACATTTAATAGATTGCGAGAGACTGGAACATTTTCAATTCGACAAGAAAACAACCGATTTCAAGCAGCGTTACGAAGAGATTTGCAGGCAGGGAATCGTATTTTACAACATTTTGACAATCATCCTGAGACCAGCGTTCGGAATGCGTCGGCTGTATTGGGAGTGTCACCACAAACAATTTGGCGAACTGTAAAAGGAGATAATCGCTATCCCTACCACATTCAAAAAGTGCAAAATTTATTACCTCAAGATCATTGGAACAGATTGAACTTTTGTAACTGGTACCTTCAGACATGCCACAATGATATTTTATTTCCATCTAAAATAATGTGGTCAGATGAGGCAACATTTACCAGAGGTGGAATAATTAATCAAAGGAATTATGATATATGGGCTCATCAAAATCCCAGGTCTGTTAGAGAATACAAATTTCAGCAAGAGTTTTCTGTTAATGTCTGGCTTGGAATTTGGAACGACGTTTTAGTGGGACCGTTTTTTTTACCTGCAAGATTAAATGGGGACCGTTTTCTAAATTTCTTGGAGAATGAATTTTCTGACTATTTAGAAAACATCCCATTACAACAACGTACTGAAATGTGGTTTCAATTAGATGGATGCCCTGCTCATTACAGCAGAGTCGCTAGAACCTGGTTAGATAGAAAATTCCCACAACGATGGATTGGACGTGGAGGAGCAGTACATTGGGCAACTCGTTCGCCCGACTTAACGCCATTAGATTTCTATGCATGGGGTACTCTGAAGCAAGAAGTTTATTCTTCGCCTATTCAATCAGAGCAACATTTGAGAAATCGTATCGTAGCTGCAGCGAACAGAATATCGCAAGAACAGTGCCTGGCTGCTACAAGAGCCGTGTTTGACAGATGCAATGCTTGTATTGCTGCAAGAGGTGCACATTTCGAACAAAATCTTCATTAAAAAGTTTATAAATAAAATAATTAAAATAATAAATTAAATATATTTTTTTCTTTTTTCGTGATTTCCTGCGAAACAAAGCAAAAAGGAGCATATGTCTATAGGACTTTTTTTCTTAGTTTTTTACTCCTCTACACGCTCCCGAAGTTTTGCCATTTAATTTGGAAACACCCTGTAGAAAGAACGCGAGTCAACGTTGCGTATCAAATTGATCAAAAACAATTCCACATGTGCGAGCATTTTGCACGCGCGGCTGATTCCCTCGTAAACATATACAGTTTAGAAATGAGTTAAAAGATCAATTTAAGTGATTTAAATTTTCTATTTACATGATATTTTATTATTGTTCATTTTTTATAAAATAAAATAGATTTTGATATAAAATTTATTCAATGTCGTTTCAACGTTGCAGCAACATTAACAATCAATGTGGAAAAATCAATATAGATACAACATCGACTTTAATATTTAACATTGCAACATCTCAACAACGTTCTGTACTGTATGGGAACCCCCTTTGCATTTTTTTTCTTTATGTTCGCACCGCACTATAGTTTAAGAGCTCAAAATTTTTTGGCCAAAAGGTCATTTTTTCGAATTTTTTAATAGGATCTTTTATGTATAGAATTTGAAAGATAATATGTCAGTAATCAAAGAAAATTCATCGGTTTTTTTTGTAATTGAGTTCTTACGCTCATTATAAGACGCAAACTTCGTCGCTTCGGGAAATTCGCTTGTTTCTTTTTTCTCGCCGTCATCTATCATTTAGTGAAAATTTGACAACTACAAAATATGTTAAGAAATTAATATTTATTCACAAAGCTTTTACACATTCTTGTTGCAGGTATTTACTATACTATTATATAAAAAATTAGTAATCAAAACTTATACAAAAAAAAACAGAGAAATTAAACAATACACAATGTTAATGCAAATTTACGTCGTGGAATAATAAAATAATAATTAATACAGCCTGTAAAAAATCACTTAATTTTGCTCACATAAACTCACATGACATTTTGTAAAATGTTTCTTTGTGATCAGTTTTATTCAAAGTCTAGCTGCCAGAGGCTGCCGGATAAATAGTTATTATTTATTCTTTTTAGACATGCATCATTTTAAATATAAAAAATTATTCGAATCTGGTTAGAGGAAAGCAATAAGGATTATAATGTAAATCAGTACATTATGAGTACATGTATAAATATATTAAATTGCTCACTGAAATTTATTATTACAAAAGTTGGATAATTCATTTTTAAAAACACATACGGTATGAAAGTAACATAATTTTCAAAATATTAAAAAATGTCATAAGAAATATTTTTTATTATTAAAATATATATTCATTTATAAATTTTGGTGGGAACATTTAAAAATATTAAGTTTTGGCCAAAATCTCGAACTCTTAAACCATATATAATGCACCAGTGCGAAATGGGCTGGTGATTTGCTTTGAAGGCTTTGACATTCGAACTTCGGAGCTTCGAATCTTCGAACCTTCGATGTCAATCAAAAGTAACAGCCGAGGAGGTAACCACTTAATGTAATCGTAGAACAAGTCCTCGAAATCATTATAAAATTCATACGAAATCTCTATATGTATAATCCAATAATTACATATGCAACCACGAAATCATCATATAATATTAAATAAAATCGTATATTTAATCAAATTACTTCATATGTAGTGAAAAAAATTATTTATAATCAGATGAAATCATATGAAATCATATAATCTGTGGGACAATATTTCAGTTAGTGGTTACCCCCTCGGTAACAGCTCTAATGCGAAACGCGAAACGTGACAAGAAGGCGGAAATTCATGCGTATAATGAGTAACACCGTCTCCACAAGTCATACCGACGCAGTGTCGATTCGCATGATAGTGACAATGGCGAAGAAATCTTTTCCACTCGCTTCCCTCTCTTTCCACCACGTGTCATAATAACTCGAGCCTGAGAGGAGGATAGGATCGTTATTATATGTAATGGTAGAAGGAGGAGGTGGAGTCGCGCTCGCGTACGACCGGTACTCAGACTCCAATATATTTCTACGAGTTCGCTTGCGTGTCACGTATGTATACGCACGTAACAGACGTTCAGCATAACACACGTTTACGAATACACATTCCGATCTGCGCGCATGTGGCACGCAGCTTAACACGCACGTTATATGTACACATATGCGTATTCGCCATTCTATTGGTGGAAGAACTTAATCGCTGACCGCTGTAGTACAATCCGGTAGTATATAAGGGCGACTTTTCCGCACTGATCATTCATTATAAGCGCAAGACATAACAAGGCATCACCGGTGCAACTTTGTGCGTATTAGTCCGCTGTCTATTCTCGGGGTTAAAAAATCGACGCTTCCTCTTCTCACGCCTCCACAGTGCCTGGACTTGGTAATCGCCAGACTGTTTTCTGATTCCCGATACAAAACGTACTTGTGTCTAAGATTTGATTTTTCACTTACAGCTGGTTAACATTTCTGCGATCTGATCGCTATACGATCGCCTGTGGCAAAAAGTTGAGACTGCGTTCAGTAGAGAAAGCAGCTTTGCACTGTTTTAAAATTCTTCAATACGATTAGTTCTTGCTTTTGATTCCTTATAGATCTAAACGTATAAACCAATCATATTGTGGAATTTTACAACAGTTGCAAAGCTGCTTTCTCTGCTGAACGCAACCATTTAAATCTTATCGCGGAAGAGAATCCCGATTGAATCTGCCAACTGTCTCTCGTATGTGTTTGATTCTCTTCTCGATGCTTACTCTCCTATAAGCGCAAAATGTTCCTAGAATGTTATATGGATATTATTTAAAAAATTAAAATAATGTTATTATAATATTTCGAGAATACCATAAATATTTTTTTAATATTACGGGAGTATTCTATAGAGGTTATATGTCCACTTATATAATATCCTAGATATTATATCTTAATATTCCTGAAATATTATTAAAATTATAAATATTAATTATTTTTAATTTTGTACAATTTGAATTCACAATCCAACAACGAAAAGTTCTTATCAGTCTATGCTGCATCTTGTGCTAAAAAAACGTTTCGACGTGATTTTAAGTACGTATCCAGTTCTACAACTGCGCGCCAAAACCATTTTCAATTTTTAAATGTATACTTATACTGAACAAATGTAACAGTTTTACAAATTAAAGTAAATGCTGTTATAATATTTTTTAATGTTTATACGATATTACAGTAACATTAAATAAAAAAATATTACTTTTAATAATCATATAATATTATCAGGAGTGGACATATAACCTTCCATTAATAATAATATTTCGAGAATATCCTGTAATATTATATAATTTTAGTAACATATTATTAAAATGTTACATTTAATATTCTAAGAATATGCCTAAAATATTACTTCATATTAAATAATATTATGCGCTTATAGGGTCGTTATTGCCGAATTCTTTTCTCAATAGAACAGTCGCACAGTAAAATTTCTCATGCAATTCTGATTGAATCTTGTATCTTCAAAAAAGATTAAATAAATACTTTCCTTGAGTATACGCTGCAAAAAAGATCACAAATTTTGTGTGAGAGCGCTCAATCTTTTTTAAAGTTGTAGAATTGTAAAATTGTTTAGAAAAGATCAAACACTCTTGAACACTAACGAAATTCGTGGTCATTCTGCAGATTTCAAGAAGAGTGCTTGACTTTTTCTAAAGATTCAAAAAATTTTGTTTTGCGATCGCTTGTTGAGAAAAGGATAAAGAACGAGTATTAATACAACCGATTGAATATTACAGGTTACAATATAAATATGATCAAAAATATAATCACAGAAGCTCTGACAGGATGGTCAATTTTGACCATTTTTCTATACTTCTGCTTATTGGCAGTCCTCTTGGCGTTGCTAGAACAACGAGCAAAGTTTTTATATGCCTTGAGGAACGTGCCATATCCCACAGCGTTGCCGATTGTCGGTAACGCTTATCAACTCAACTGCACACAAGAAGGTAAGTCCTACATGATAACTTCTCTATCATATGCCTGTGGTGCGCACGCTGTACACAGTCATATGGGACCTACAATTTTTAACGTCGATTCTGAACGACGAAATTTTGTTAGAGAAGTTATTGTTGGCAAAGATACTCTCGGGTGGTTTGCCATTGCCTTCCGAGAGGAGATACGAGCGTAGAGAAAATTGTTGGTTTTCTACCGGGAATCGAACCCGGGATCTCTAGCATTGCAGACCAGTGCGCTGTCCGCTTTGCCATGCTCGCTCTCAAATATCCGTACTCTCTATACGCACTAAGAAGCATTTTGCTGAATTAGTTAAATACAGATTTGGAAATAATTTTATTGGGCTATCAAAATAATTAATATTGGGTTAGGAAAACAGATCGGCACCCCTGAATAACTTGGAAAATATATTTAAATTTTATAGAAAAATGTTATAGACAAAAGTTGTAGGGTGTAAAAAGATCCAAATATTTGGATATTTTAACAAAATCATTTTTTAAATGTGACATAACACATGTTGATGTATGACTGTCGAAGTATTGGACCGATCGTGTTTGAAAATCAATGTAAATGATATTCGTCAATGCGGCTATTATTTATCGAAGAGATTGCAAAAAAATATTGTTACGAGGAAAACCGTATGATGTAAAGAACGGTTTTACTGAAGTATCTAAAAAAATTAGCTAGATACAGATCTGAAAATAATTTTATTGGACTATCAAATTATACAGAACGCTCAAGTTAGTTGTTAGATTGTTAAAACTTTTTGCAGTATTGCTCATCATGATTGAGTTTTCTACACAATTATTTTAACAGTCCAATAAAATTATTTTTATTGTTATCTACTTATTGTTAGATTTTTAGATACTTCAGTAAAATTGTTTTTCCTGTGTAATCAAAATAATGCTTCTTCGTCTAAGGATTGAAAGTAACAAAATATAAGGACAGAAAATATAATATCATGTTACGTTCATAATGAATTTTGTAACTTAAGTTGTATATACAGGATTAGTTGAGAAAGAAATGATTATTTATGTAAAAGTAAATAAAAAAATAGTATTTTTGTACAAGACGAGAAAATCGAATTTGAAAGTTTATTTGATAAAATCACATATGATTTGTTTAATATAGAACATTTTGTTTACATTTTATTTACATATGTATAATAACTATTATACATATAAAACGTTTTTTATATGCAGGGTGTTTCAAAATTTGCGCCCGTGAAGTACAATACGCGATACTTTATGCTAAAACAATTATTTCCTTTTGCAAAATTGCATCTGACAAGTAGTTTTTGCAGGAGAACAAGTTGAAGTTATACGAGTGAATGCAAAAAATTATTTATCGAATGTAATTTTACTATAGAAAAAAGTTGTTCGTTTTAGCATAAAAAACTTTTTCCTTTAACAAAATTGCTTCTATTTCCATACTTATAGCGCTTTGAACTTGGAAAACCATTCCAGGACAATAAATTTCCCTTAGGTGCGCACAATTCACCCACTTTTCCCTATACTTTGTCATATTCTGTTAAATATTTTCTGGAAATAATTCCTGGATATAGAATTTTATATAAATATTTGCTTACACATCTATTTACGATATACTCTCTTAAAACTTCATGAACTTTAAATGCTCTTAAATATAAAAATTAATTGGGTTCGAAGTTCGAGCATAACAAATCGAGTTTATCATGCAACAGAATGAAATCCCCTGCGACCAACACATTTTTAAGGAAAATGAACATTTACAAATACTAACGAACAATTTTTGTAACAAATGTTCTGTTTTATGTATTTTTCTTTTTATTTGTTTCCACACACACACACACACACACATTAAACTGTGTTTAATACTTGTTCCATTAATGGTTTTATATTGTTGAATAATAAAATTCTTCCTACCTCTCGAAAACTAATTGTAAGTGTTTCTAGACCAAGTTTATATAAACTTTTGTAAATGTTTGGGGTTGATATGAATACATTCTTAAAATATTGAACAATTAGAGTTTTCAACCGTAATGAATTTAATTGCTTTGATGCCCGTTTCTATCAATGTAGTTTAATTTTAATCGGTTCAACTAACTCTTTATTTTTTTTTAATTTCAAGAATTAGAAAAAAATGAAAAATAAATTGAAATGAGATTAAAGTTAATCTACATTGATAGAAACGGGAATGAGAGCGATTAAATACAATTTGCTAGGAATTTATGTTTATTCCGAAATGTGTTTTCGAATACAGGTCAATTCAGGTCAGGTCAAAACAATCTCTATAAGTAATCCAAGATGAAACTTATGTTGCCATTTATCACTCTCGGGGTGGTCAAACTTGCTACGCAGTTGACAGTACTATTATTTAAACATACCTTCTGTTATAAAGTTTTCTAAAAAGAATTCTTCTTACAATACGTATTATATATAGGGTTTTCTAAAGTAAGATTTACAATAATCGTCTCGCGCAGTTGCTGTTTGTCAGCGTGTTACAAAACAAGATTTTTACACCACATCAAATACAAGTTTTAGCACTATTGGATTTTCATTTCCATTTTATGAATTTTTTAATAAATCAATGGCATTCTATTCCTAAAGATTATAATCACACTACAATAACCTACAAAAATAAAAAATCAATCTTTTGATCTTTACAAATCCTCTGCCTCTTCTTAATGATGATCTTTGAAAATTTGCCTCTCGCATCCAATTGAAATTAATCGAATAAGCATAAATATTACGTAAGAACAAATATTGCGCTGTAACATTCTCACTTTTCTTTTCTTCTAAGATATAGGAAATCGTTAGCATTATATCGAGAATATATTTAGCACATTCCACACATATATTATTTAAATAAATATAAATCACTACGAATTATCTTTCGGTATTAAAAATGAAGATAACTTTCACCTTTAAACATAAAAAAATTATCATAGACGTTGCGATTAATAGTCAAGCATAACTGTCAGTAATCATTCCATCGTACGTTATGATGTAATGCAATTATTAATGTTGCATTACTAATTCTCGGACATTCTGAATTCTTAAAGATAGTTTTACGCTATAGAGAATTTAACTCTTGAATCGGGGATTGACGAAGTGATGCAAAATTCACGAATCTCTCTCGCCATATATCTACATTGCTGCTTTGTGAGTCCGCAGACGTTCCGAAAGTTTAACTCGACGACTTTGGTGCTTACGAAATTTACACGAGTAATTTTGCAATAACGAGAGAGTGCAATGCAATGAAAGATATTGAGAACAGACACGTGCTGGCCGCTGCACGATCAGCGCTGTGGTCAGATAAAACACCTGTACGATCTGACCCAGATATTCTAAACGATCATTCTCATCCATTCAAGAGTACTTAAAAATTTGATAGAATAAAGCACCCAGTCCGCGCCACCTATAGGTGTCTTTGTTTAACCTACAGGATAAACAAGGACATCTATTGTATAGGACTCGACCTAAATGCACGGTGTAAATGTAGCCAATGACTACGTTTACACCGTGCATTTAGGCCGCGGCCTATACAATAGATGTCCTTGTTTATCCTGTAGGTTAAACAAAGACACCTATCGTATAGGTCGCAGACTAAGCGCACGGTGTAAACGTAGCCAGTGTAATTTTATTAATATAGTTTAATTTCAATCTCGGTTCAATTAACTCTTTTTTTCTAATTCTAAGAATTAGAAAAGGTAAAGAATAAGTCGAACCGAGATTAAAGTTAATTTATATTGGTAGGAACGGACATTAGTGGAACAAATATATATTAAAAAATCACAGTTTTTAACCTTTGAATATCTGAAAAACGTATTTACATCTAAAAGATAGAAATATTGTTGCTTTACATATGATTAAAACGTTATGTAATTATTCAAATCTTTGTTACGCGAAGAGTATACGTTATAGTTATATTATACTTCGTGTGTAATTACTTTATTTTTCCACTGTGTCGTATAAAAACGGCCATAAAACAATCAAATTGATTATTGCAATATCAGACGAAATAAAACTTTCGCGTAAAGACACGCGCACGTGATGAAAAACGAAGAAAAAAGAGAAATGTGATTGGTGAGCTATCTCGGTCCACCAATGATAACCGCCTGGCATAAAGAAATGAAGGCGAAGAAGAAAAAGCAGGTCGAGGTCGCTCGAGCAGTCTGAATAACGGCGCGTAATTGGCTACGTTTACACCGTGCATTTAGGCCGCGGCCTATACAATAGATGTCCTTGTTTATCCTGTAGGTTAAACAAAGACATATATCGTATCGCGGACTAAACGCACGGTGTAAACGTAGCCATTGCATACGATTTTATATGGTGTTACGTACCCTTTTCGTTTTGAGAGAAAAGAAGAGAGGATAAAAAGAGAAAGCATCGGCGGTAGGGTTTTGTTTAAAATAAGAAGAAACGGAAGAGATGAAACGCCTGGCGCGAGATTCCGACTATTCGGCCAATTGGCCTGTCGGGGATAATTCCGGGTCAGACTCTGGCCAGACGTCCTCGTCTGCGAGAGGAGAATAGAATCTAGACGCTTTTCTTTCTCTCTCTCTCTCTTTCAATTCGTGTGCTCGCTATAATAAATAAATAGCAACAATCAAAGGGACATTACGAGCATTATTGGCATAAAAGGCGACACAAGTGCGATTAACATGCGGTAGCAACACTTTACGCAGAGATGTATCCTCCTAAAAAACCCATCGCGTCAAACGATTAATTATTTTTTAACATCACGTAAAACAAGATTATATAGCACGTATGTCGATTAATTTATTTGCTGTAACATAAGTATCGATCTACGAGATTAAGTGATCGATAGTTCTTTTTTCCTGATTTTATTTTTTGCTCATCGCTTCCAGGAAGCAACAAATTGAAATTAAGATCTTTGAGCAACAACTGAAAAAATTAATTAGGCAATTTCATCAGATAACGACGAAAAAAAATTACTGCCAAGTGTTAAACTTGTTAGTCTTAATAAATTTCAACGTATGTGCAGTTCTTATTATGAAAACGCACGTAGAACATAATTACATAATGATTAGATAGAGTAACTTTAAAGAAAAAGATAAGAAACTTAAATGCATTAGTAAACGAAAATCATTTAAAGCCTAAAGCCTAGACTGGCATTCATTTTTCGCTCAAAAAATCTTACGTGCAATGTGATTACTTATTAATAATAATATGAAATAGGCCTAATACCGGTCGAAGCTAGATCTTAATTGCTTATTAAATAATTCAAACTGTAAAAAGTCCGGAGAAATTTCGGCGCGTAGTGAATAATGCTACAAATATGGTATATATGCAATTATATATAGTACATATATAATTCACATTTGAATTATTTAATAAGCAATTAAGATCTAGCTTCGACCAGCATTAGGCCTAATTCATATTATTATTATTATTGAGTTTTCATGCGTTAGTCCTATGAGATTTAATAATTTGTTGTGATTACTTATTTAACACATATGGAATGTGTATAATGTATTTCGCGTTTTATATTATATACTTATTCTTTGTTCAATTTCGCGATGTATCTTTACGATGACGATGGGAAGGGAATGAGGGGCTAAAATAGGTCGTCAAGGAGTCTTCCACCGTCCTGAAGGACGCCTGACGTCTCGCACGCCAAGGTCTTCGATAGCATCTTCCGCTTTTTCCAGAGCGACGCCTTTTTCTCTTTGTCTGTCTTTTTCTCTATCTCCTTCCTTTCTCTACTTCTGTCTCTCTTGCTTTTTGCATTCATCGTCCACGTGCAGTACACACTGTCCATTTTCAACCGGTCAACGTCCGGTCAGCCTGTCGGTCGTCAACTCGTTGCACGTGCAGTGCGATTTCTCTCTTCCTCCACCATCCCGTTTTTTATTCTCTATCTGTCTTTCTCTTTTTTTCTAGTCTCTCTCTTTTTCCCTCTCTTTGCTTGCTTTTATCTCTTTCTTCATCAGAGTTTTATTTATAAAAAGAGATTTTATTTATATAAAGAAATTTTATTTATAAAAAAAGAGATATTATAATTATAAAATAATTCTTTATTTACTACTAATAAAAAAGTTTGATCAAAGTTTTGTGTTAATCAAGTCATTAGTAACGCATATTTATAAAAAAAAACGAACTCTGGAATGATGTCCTATCAAATACCAAATTTACTTTAGCTTTCATATAATATAAGATTTAAGGCGCTTCGAAAATGCATGGCAATGGTCAACGACGATCGCACGCATCTTTCTACAATTCTCCTAAAAAACTAATAGAACAGCCTTCAGTTCGTCAACCGAAGAAAATCTTATAATGCAGTCTTTTTGGTATTAGATGTAACTAACACTCCAAAGTTTGTTTTTTTTTATTGTACGGTATTATTCTACAGATAGCAATAAACTGAAGCTAGTATATTATTTCGAGTTGCTCAACATTTTATTCTTTTTGTGCAATCACATACGCTATATTTATCAAATATCCTGTTCTAAATTTATTTTGTTGTTCATTTTTTATCAGAATTGTTCTAAATTGATATTTCTTCCTCTCTTTATTTTTCTCTTATCCAATTTTTTACTTCTCTTCTCATATCGCGTTATATTCTCGCGTTATATTGACATTAATTTCCTTTTTCGTTTTTTCATTTTCATTTTTAATACTTCTTATTCTCGCGAAAATCGCGATTTATATCAATAAGAGCAGATCTAGAGTTGCGATAATGGCGCGATGATTGGTCAGACATGAAGTAGTAAAAGGTCTATTTCTGCACGACACGCAGGTCGGTGACCGTGAGAATAATTGAAGATGATCCTCGTAGAAAACGTCATAAATGCAATAACAAGCGACACATGCATTCGATCAGTAGTAATTGCTTACTCTCATCAAGAAGAATATTGAAATTTATCTACGAAAAGTTCTCTCCACGAACGTGTCCTCTCGAAAATATATTATGTATTAATGTGTTAAAAAAGATAATTTTTCGATGCAAAAAATGAATGATTTTTTTAATCTAATTTACTAAACATGTACATCGTTTATCTAATTTATAACGCAACGTTAATGTATTATTTATTCAGATGGTAGAATTGCGAAAAGTGAGATTTGATCTTTTCGATAGTTTTACATATGGACCGCATTTTATGAATATAACCAAATTCTCATTGGACAATATATTTTAACTGAATTTCTGATAATGTATGTAAGATGTTTTGTTATTTTACATTGAAAATGACCCGATCGGTGTCGAAACGTTTGAATATTGTATATATACGTTTATTAAAGATCTTATATTATAATTGGCTCGTTGCCCTTGTTTTATTTATTGATTTTTTTAATCATTTTAATCTTCTTGATATTTTTTTTTGCTATTTTTTTATTCCTTACTGTGATCCAATTTCAATCAGAAGTCACACAAGCGCTAGTTTAAAATAATATTATTTATTATTTTATACACACATATATACACATAAATATATATGTATATTACATATTATTAATTTAGAATAATAACAATTATTAATTAATTTTGTAATATTTACGCAACATATAATCGGTGTAGAGAAAATCTCAATGAATCAATTCTAAAGTTGTATAAGAATATTACTGAGAATGAAGAGTCATCCTCATGATCTTTAAAGCGCATCGGCGAATTATACAAAAACTCTGTTACGATGCTAACACGCGAACCTGTCTGAACATTACAGCGGAATTTCTAGGACAGTATTATAACAGATTAATCTCGTCAGTTTGACATGAGTAAAGGAGGACGGCAGTGTCTTGCGCCATGATGCTGCACTTGCTTAGCGCTGAAACATTATCGTGTCTCCACACTGAAAAAAATGCATGTAATTTTACATGGAAATTACATGTTCATGACTGGAAAATTGCCTAAATATGATTGGAAATTTACAATTTCCAGTAAATTTCCAAGCATATTTATGTAATTTAGATAATTTTCCAGTCATATACATGTAATTTCCATGTAAAATTACATGCATTTTTTTCAGTGCAGATTAGGACAATTTTACATATTTGTCTAAAATTTGTTGGATTTGTCTATTTCAGAATTCTTTCAGCAGTTGATAAAATGGGCTTACAAATTTGGCGACATTTATCTGATCTGGGTTGGCCTACGACCTTTCATCTTTCTGTATCGAGTAGAAGCGGTGCAACCTCTACTCAGCAGCAGCGTACACATCGACAAAAGTTTAGAGTATGAATACTTGAAGCCTTGGTTAGGTACGGGCCTGGTGACCAGTAATGGTAAGTGATTCATGTTTTACAAATTAAAGTCGCATCCCTGGTGAAAATATAAAATTGGAGCGTAAGTCGAATGTAAGGGGAGAGTAACAGAAATAAATGAAGCTTTTAGGAGGCAAAAATTGGAACAATAAAATATAAAAGAAGCGTAAACACCGAAGTCTCAATTTTGATCTTTTCGAAGCATCGTTTATTTTTTTTACATTTTTTTTTACGTTTTTGTTACTCTTCCCTTATACTCGATTTATGCTCCGGTTTTTATTTTCAGGGATTACGACGCAAACAAAGATTAATTATTGCCATGAATCGAAAAAAGTATTATAATTGGTAAAAATATCTGAAAAAGAATTCGAATTATGGCAGCTTCGAATTACATTATAACATTTTTACAATATGGGATATTATAAATATTATATCACTAGTATATGTGTGTTATGATAAATATTACGTAGTGGATGAATAGATCATGATTCGTTCGTGAATGGCGTAACGTATTTTAATTTCTATTCCAGTTCATGTGTAAAAATTTGTATTAAATGAAATATTATAAGCAAATAGATGTAAGAATAAATGTTATAAAAAACAATATAAATTGTTAAATTACATAAAATAATACTTTTGGAATCTAAAGAAAAATTATTATATATTATTTTTTCCATATATAAAATACTATATGTATATTACCTATATATATATTATTTATTATACATTAATTATATATTAATAATTTATTATTTAATTTATATTAAACAATATTTGCGTTATTAGATACAAAATTGTTAATACATAATTAAATAGATTTTTAAATTCTATTGATTCGAATAATTAATCCTTAATTTAAATACACAAAATATACAAAGAAATATTATGTCTGAGAAAAATTTTTTATATCATAAAAATTACTTAATCTTAAAAATAACTCAAATAAATTCTATAGATTTATACGTTTTATTGGACTAACGATAATAATGGTTATTTAAATATTAAAATAATGGATAATAATGGATAATGATTATTTAGATATTAAAATTTTATGTACAAATACGAAGTAGGCAAAATTTAGTTCATCTATCAATCATTAAATCCCGAATTAATTTCTAAATCCATCTTTGACTGTTACATATTGAAATTGTTTTATTTTACACTATTTTTAACCTTGAGCAAATTGCAAAGACTCACATGATAAACGATCCAGACGTTTCACTCTGCTATTTTAAGATAATTATCGATAACGATTGACGCTTAAACGCCAGCTGCTTTTAAACTAATTAAACGGAAAGACATTGGACAAAAAATTCTCATTGTTTCTTTCATTCTGAAAGTAATCTTTAATTTAGAATTTAAATAAAAAAATATGAAATTTAAATTTAAATTTAATAACTAAAATTAAGATTTAATCAGAACCTAAATTAATACTTGAAGATTTAAGATCGAAAGAATATTACATTTGTATATTTTGTTTACTTTACCTTAAATAAAAAATTGGACATACAATCTTCTTTTAGAAATCATTGGCACGTGCTCAATGTATGTTCAATGAACGCTCGTACAGCACTTGGGAACTGTGCCACTGGTAATTGATAATAGTATAAATTTTATCTATAAGCAACATCGCAACAATGTTGCAATGTTGATTCGAATTTCTGTCCGATTTAAGCTTAGATAAAAAAAATAAGCACATAGTTCAATATCTGTTTGGAAGTCGAATTTATACGTATACTGATCCAGTATCGAATTAGGATCAAACAAGCTCTTTTAATGTCACTATCTAGTGTTCTCTGAAAATATTTAAATATCTAAAAGTATTATATGCAGATTGTAATCTGTTCGATCTTCTTAACTCGTAGCTACAATGTGTATGTTCTTAAAATATCTTTCTCATTTAAATTCAATAAACTTCTATGTTCTATTACTTGCCGAAGAATATACGGCTGTGTCGCTACATGATAGCACAGCTGCGTAATCTATAAACCATACCACCATGGTTTCGCTATATGCACAGGTGCTATGGATTTTGTAAAAGAAAAAATGAAATTTAAAAAATGATGATAAAAATAATTGGTCACTTTTTTATTACATAAGTGACTTACTCTGTTACATATTGTATGAAAAATTTACTCTGCAAATAAAACTAATAAATAATTTATATAATTGATTGCTTAATAAAAATAATATATCGATCGACGTGTCTTTTGCATATTTATAATTATTCGTGAATTATAAATTGATTTTAAAATATTTCAAACATTGCATTTTCTCGTAATGACTCATTTTATGTCACTTTAAATAAAACAATTTATTTTAATGAAATTAAAAATAAGATAAAAGATTAAATTAATGAAAGAATTATACGACAGATTCTTTTCAATTATAATAATATTAAAAGTTATGATAATTTCTGAATATATTAGAGGAGGCCTGAATATATATATTAGAGGAGATTGAAAATAACATTTTTTGTTTTTATTGGATAAAAAAAATCTGTGTTCGCTATGGATTTTAAATTCATATACACAAATAAAGAGAAGATTCAAGATTAGTTTCACAACGACTGAACGCCGTTAATTCAATTTCTGAAAGTGTTATGACCATTTGAACAGTCCGAAGTGCGTTGTTATTTTTTACCCCGACTTGAAATTGAAAGTAACAACGCTGAGACAAGTTGTAACATACAATATTATGAGTTAAACAGTGCGAAATAAAAGCAACAAATCATTGAAATTGTTTTTAATTACTTATTTATATTAAATAACGGCCGTATATTAATTAATAATCGTAATAAACATCCTTCACTAGCGCGCGCTTAACATATTATTTTTTTTACTATAATTGAACAAACAGGATTTCTTTTTAATAAAATTTATTAGCTAATCAACGCCAGTCTCTTGATTTCTGTGCCATGATAAAAGAACTTCAAAATCAAATAATATGATGCAATTGTAAGCCAGTTTTCGTACTTCAGATGATAGTAAATCAAAGTAAATACTTAAACATGTTATGTAATATTGGACTATAAGCTTCTGTTTTTTATCTTCATGGAAAACCAATTCATTTTCTTTGTATCTAACAGATACAGTCTGATTAATTTTTTGCTTTTTTATAAATCTGCTTAAGGTTCCTGAGTAGTCATCACAGTCTTATTAAATAGTAACGTCAGAAACGAGAAATGACATGTTAATTTTTATTATGTGCCGTTTGTAAATAAAAGCAATTTGGATAAAATGAAATGATGAGATTGCTTTAAAACAATTAAAAATTGTAAAAATGGACAATTGTACAAAAGCTATCCTTATCTCCCCTGATAAGCAATAAATAATGAAAAAATAATAAAAGACGCGTGAAGTACTTTTACTCAATGCGTATGCGTAATCTATTTTTACTTACACTTGCCTTTCATCACTTTTTATGATTATTTACAAAAGTCGACTTAAATCGGCTCGTGTCGCGACTCTTATTAAAAGGTCTCTTAAAAGAATAGATCGGACTGTGACATCTGTGTCTTTTGTGGGAAAGCTTCCAGAGCAATAATTGTCGTGGCGCCAATTGCAGCGGCGCTAAGCCGACAATCGTCTCGTTCAGTCCTACAGCGTTATCTCTTTTTTTTTTACAAAATTATAAACTCTGTTACGATTTACGGGTATTACTTTCAACATCCTCGGCCTCCTCTGTCTAAGTTATTAGTATTATTACACGTCTACACTTTTTAATTCACTGCAGGATATAGCAGGATTGACAACAATAAGACACAATAAAAAGTAAGAATCATTTGATTTTGCAAATCAATTAAATTTGATTTAATGATATTATGTTGCCTCAAGAATAAAATAATTATAAAAGAGATGATATTCGCAAATTAATCTAATCATTCAGACTGTCTAACCTTGTTCATCATACGATTTCACAAAAATAGAATAAAGAAAATATTACTCATTATTGCTCTCACCTTGGGTTTACACGCAAAAAGTTGTCAATTACGCAAGTATGTAATAAAAATTATACGCAAAGAACTTCAGACTTCGAGCAATAAAGTAATTATACATCATTTCAAATTTCCGCACAAAACAGATGTATTATTTAATTGGTGTACTGTACGGCATTAATTTCAGTATTATTTCAGTTTCATGTTAAAACGTTCATTCTCCTTAAATGGATGTTTTATTTTTAGTTTGCAAAGGAGCCGTAATATATCGCGAATGTGATAAAGTAAAATTTCGAAATGTCCCCCGAACTCCTGTTTATCGCGTCCGTATTCATTATGACATATATTAACACTGTTGACACTATCATTGATTTAATATAAATAATATTTTTATCTTGACTTTTGCTCTTTATATTTTTTTTCTCAGTGTAGCACCAAAGTGTCAATTTCTCATTTTGAATTTTGGATATCAATATAATATATAGTTTGAACTACATACTAATATTATTTCTTTAATTCTTGCGAATTTTCCAGATAGCGAGTGATCTAAAATTTTAGATTATTCAGAGAAAAAAGCCGTAATTTTTAATTACGCGAATTTTTCTTATAATAAGGGAGATCGGGGCACTGATGAGACACTTTTTCTTTTTCGACTCGTATATCTTCAGTGAAGAATATATGTATAATTGACTTGCATTTGCTTATACGATCAGTTATTTTGACATCCGATAATTTCTATTACCTTTTTTATAAGAGAAAAAAATAGAAAATCGGGAGCAAAAAACCTATATTTATCTCATGATGCCCCTAGGGACACTGTGAGAATTCTTTATTTTTTATATTGGCGCGGATACAGCAAATAAATTTACAGCCGCAATAAAAATTATGGTCTTTCTTTCAGGTGAGAAATGGCAATTTCGCAGGAAGCTGTTGACGCCGACCTTCCACAGCGGCCTCCAGGATACATATTTGAAAACTGTGAAAGAAGAAACAAACATCCTAATTTCCTGCCTTGAAAAAGAAGTGGACAAATGGTTCGACATTGTTCCTTATGCGAAACGCGCCGCTCTTGATATTATATGCGGTGAGTTCAATAGACACGAATTTCGCGTTAAATTTATAAATCTAGTATTTTTTCTTTTTACGCAACCAACACTCGCGTTAACTCTTACACTTCCTCTTTCAAATTATATAAAATTATTTAATTTAAACGGGATAACGAAGAAGTGGCTTCCTTATACATGATGAGAATGTTGAGATTTGGTCAAATATTTCATCAGTAATCGGATAGTTATTAAGTAATATGGTTGCTATATTGGAGAGTAACAATAAACATTTGCCGGTTACGTGTATATGACTTTGTCGTTGATCGATTTCTGGATTTGTCTCAATACTATCTTTCAAAAAAACATTTAAAATTTGTACCATGTCAGTCGTAACAGACTAAGTTATTTTTGCAATACATTATTTTTATTTTCTAAAATAACATCCTCAGCCTTATTGAAGACGCTTATAAAATATTAATATTTAAAACAGGACCGCTTAAATAAATCAATTAAATACAAGTCAATTACTGTTAAAATTAAATACTTAGGGGGTAATCAATATATTTTTATATACATTTATCTTAGAATTTTGATTATACGCCGATTATGTTTGAATTTGCAACACACAATCTGAGATACTAGTAATCCTCCCTAAATTAAATAAAAATTTGTAAAGAACTTATTGCAAAAAATATTTTTATCTGTGAGAATGCTAGTCTCTGAGAACAACTGAGCTAGTACGGTATATGTGAAATTCGAATTCAATTCCCTGCCTAGGAAATATTTTTCGTAATAACTTCTTTACAGGTTTTAATTTAATTTTGGGAAATTTTATTAGCATCTCAGATTAATTGAGTTACAAATCTGAAAGTAATTGGCGCGCGAGCATAGTTCTGAGATAATTGCAATTAAAATACATATTGATGTATTACTCTAAACATCTAACTTTGAGCATAATTGGCAGTCTCGTATTTAATTGATATATTCAATTAATATTATGTCAATCCAACATAATTTACATATTTAGGCTGTGGTCAAAGTCTCGCTACAAATGCTGCTTTGAAGCGTTTGATGGACTAATTAGAAGAAAGAATTTTACAAACTGACTAATTAAAAAACGCTTCAAAGCGTTTTCAAAGCATCACGTTGATCGCGACCCTTAGTAACACGATGTAATTACCATTAACAAGTCCATATAGCTATCCCATTACTTAATAATTGCTCGATTACTGATGTAATATTCATCTCAATATCCATCTCAACATTCTCATCATGTATATAAGAAAGCTACATCTTCGTTACCTCATTCGAACTAAATAATTTTATGTGATTTGAATAAGAAAGAATACTTTTAGAAGTATGCAAACGTATGAAAAACTTTAGTAGAGGAAAGTAGTTTGAAGTTTGGCAGACAATGTATAATATGTTGGATTCGACGTCTTCTTATAAAAACACAAATTATTTTCTATATAATTTTTGTTTTTACAGAAAATTTGTTTCAAAGCACAGAATTTATGTTTTAAAGCAGAGAATTTGTGTTTTTAAAGCAAACAAATACCTGACCAAAACAAATTTTCTGCTGTAAAAACAAAAATTATATAGAAAATAATTTGTATTCTTGAAGCAAAGAATGTGTTTTAAAGCAGAGAATTTGTGTAATTGAAGCAGAAAATACTTATTGTAGCCTCACTTACATCTTCTCATGTCCTTTTATGCCATCGATGTAACGGATTTCCTAACCTGAATAGTCATCAACTTTAATACCTCCCAGTGAGAAATAACAATGGAATCGACGTCGAATCGACATCGATTCCATTGTCATTTCTCACTGGGCTCGGTCCACAGGACACAGCGACACTTTTTTTGTCAGATTTGTTCATTTCGTGCAAAAACGCATTGAATAAGCCCAATTTTATCAACATTGGAGGTAAGGAAACTAAACTCAACATCTATATTATCTATATTATTACCGAGACACTGGCTACGTTTATACCGTATGACCGTACGCTTAGTCCGCGACCTATACGATAGGTGTCTTTGTTTAACCTACAAGATAAACAAGGACATCTATTGTATAGGCCGCGGCCTAAATGCACGGTGTAAACGTAGCCTTTGTTTAACCTATAGGATAAACAAGGACATGTGTTGTATAGGTCGCGGATTAAGCGCACGGTGTAAACGTAGCCACTTAGACCGACTTTACCGATCCTATTGTTTTGAACCGACCGAGACACTATCGTAGTATAAAGCTCTATATATCAAAGTAGCGCATTCCTTTGATCTGAGCCAAAATACCGACAATCTTCCTATTGGCTATTTTGACCGCTATTTCGATTTATTCGTCTGTAGTCCAATAAGCGCTTAGTATTATTGGTATAGGGTAGTAGATCTAACATGGAGGACCTATGTGCTACTTTGATACAGAGCTTTATCGTAATACAAATCGCAGCACTCGTTGATCACGTATATCACTAGCGCCCTTGCGTAAAAAATGTCAAAAGGACACCAAAGGAATGCGCGGAATGTGGTCAACGACGTATCTGAATCTAAGAAGTTAGGGGCTGCGCACAATGAAAGGAATAGGGAACAGGGAACAGAGAATAAAAATTTCAACCTATCAAAAATCATGTATCGCGGAATACACAGTTTCTGATAGGTTGAAATTCTTATTCTGTTCTCTGTTCCCTATTCCTTTCATTGTGCGCAGCATTTTTATACAGATCCGAACTTTGCGTCGCAATATCTCCGCTTGTAAGGTACGTAGAGAAAAAATAAAAATACGTATAATACAATCGGAGTGTAAACTATCGATTAAGTGTACTTAAAACTCGATCGGGACAGCCGTTATTGAGATCCGATAATCTTGATCCGGCACAACTCACATCGCGTAAAGGAGGCACGGTAGTGTCTCGCGCCATGTCTTAGCGCCGAGACACTACCGTGTTTCCAAATAGATATAGAAATGTAGTAACTCCACGGAAGATATTTTCCTTTTATAGTATTCTTTATTGAAAAGATAGCTTTATCAAATGTAATTTAACGACGATGGTTATCATGGACGTATCCATGATTCTTTTTGGGGAAGATTTTTATTAATTTGGTATCACATAAACAGTAATTTTTTGCATTAATGTATTGCTTTTTTGGATATTTCAAAGTGTCTCCTTCTTGTTTCTGATTTTGAAAGAAAAATATTAGGTTTTGTAAATCATGACTTCTATTTTTTTTCTTGAAGAAAGTATAGATTAATACAAATATTATAAACGAAATATGTAATTGTGGAGTACTCATTAATATCTCAACTCATATTCTATTTTTCGGCTTAAAAACCTTGCGAAATTTTTTATACATATATCGGATATTGTCAAAGCTCTATTTAACGGAAGTTCCAGAAATTACATAATTGTATTAGTAGAAAAAAAATTTTATATAACAAAATTTACTTATACTAAAAAATAAAAAATTATATTGTTTATAATTAAGAATAAAAGAATAAAAAATTTCGGAAGGGATTGAACCCTCTAAAACCCTTCTTCCATAGACACGTCATGATGGTTATATTAACCATCGTTCTAGCACGATAATCTCATTCAAATAATTTTGGAACTATCCTAATTATATAAAAACGTTAACCAATTTATTAGGAATATAATCATTTTATTAGGAAACAATTATTTTTTAATAAGTCGCGACGTTTCCGGCATCATCAGAATATTTTATTAAAATATTCGATTATGATATAGCTGTGTTAAAAGAAACTGCATGTGTACTCATTTTTTCAATATAACATTGAACAACACATAAAAAATTCTATCGAAAGTATATGTCAGGATACGTCAAGTTTAAATTTAATCGTTAGTTACACGAGTTTCTTTCGTTATCTTTGAGGACTTACAACATTGGGATTTGCGTGATTCGGGAGCGGTGCTCTAAATCGAGGTCTCTTCTCCCAGTCCATCCCGACAACAACGACGCTTCTGTCCGAGTTCGTATTGCTAAGACAACATAGTGACGATTGCCGTTTTCTCATTTCTTCCGATACTCTTGGTTTATTATCTTTCCGTTTTAATCTTTTTCGTTTTCGTCTCGCATCACGATCGGCATCGAAAGTCAAGCTGAAATGAGTTGCCTCATGAATTATTAACAATAATCCAGCAATTCAATTTTTGAAGGTCGGAGATTTCTGCGAGATCTTGAGAAGACATATTGATCTTTCTTCAAATAATTTATAGAAACGAGATATTTTCTTATTCGGCACAAATTCATTTGGCGCATTTTTATTGCGTGAATGACGCTTGAAAAACAATGATATAACCAAGATAAAAAATGTGTGATATAAATATTAATGCGAACGAAAGAATTCGATACAAACGATGCGCTAAATGATTGCCGCAATGGCCTTCAGCTGCTCTGATTAAAATACTCGAACACTTTATGATTTATTCATTCACTTGTAAGTAGACGACTGCAGTCGCAAACACACATCTTTTGCGTCTCTTTCGCACTATTAATATCATCAATAACTCGTATGTTCGTAATTTGTGTTATAATAACAAATAAACATTACACGTTATCAATATTACGTTATCAGTAAAAATTTCACGAAAAGAATGGTTTTGCTGAAGTATTCTAAAAATTTAGCTAGATACAGATCTGAAAATCTTTTATATTTTCTCTTTCTATATTTAACTAAATTTTTAGATACTTCAGCAAAACTGTTTTTTCCATGTTTTTATTATACCATAAGGATTCGTGCAATAACTTTGTCATATCCAATTTATCTTTTTCCAGTGAATTAAGTAATTTCGCTTTGATACCAGAATGATCCATTTGCTTCAACTTTGACGAACCACGGATTCTCAGATTGCATAATCGATCTGTGTCTTACGTCTCGATAATTTGAAACACCGATCCTTTTGCGGTTGTGATAATTCAATTATCCGCTGCGTAGCTACAGTTTGCGATAAATTTTTCACAATATTTTAGAATTTATTATTAAGGTTAATAAACTTTAATTATAACAATCGTTCGTATTTCGCACGAAATGTATTTATTTTCCAATCTGATTTTTTTAATTTTATAAATTGTGTTTTTTTGCAGAATCTTTAACAAATTATTTTTGCAAGGATTTATTAAATTCAAGTAGAAAGAAATTATAATACTGACAGTCTAAATGTTTTAAATCACTAACCTATTGCTTTAAGCGTGCTCGGTGAGACAGAATTAATGGATTTTGGTGCTGAATCATGAATTACTTTTGGATATGCAAGCTTGATTATGCGAGACATCGATGGTACTTCACTTTTCGAAATCTTTTCAGAAACCTCATCCTTTGTTACGCGAGATCGAGATTGAACCAGTTGTTTTGTCCACTCTGTTATTTCGTACAGCAACGCGGATATTTTTACCTAAATAAATTTAACCATTTTATATTATAATATATATCTAACAATTATTGGTCAATTAAACTTTATAATATCCCTTACAGAAATATTTTGGCCAATTTAATACTAGCCAATTTATTATTGAAAAAGAGTAATTGATTACTTATTTGAAATACTAAAAGTACCCAAGAGAACAGTGCTTCTATGATTAAAATAAGTTATTAATTACTGTCGGTATTGGTCAGTATTAGATTTCTGTAAGAGATGTATTATGAAAATTCCTGTGCATTATATCATGACAATGTCGAAACCAATCTTTCATACTAATTATATTTATAATGTATTAATTAATTACATTAAATCTCTCATATTAAAAATATATTTATTAAATATAATAAATATGGAAGACAGGTACATTTAATAGAATATATGAGATTATAATAAGTACAGTTTTTGTTAAAAAATATATTCATAATATATTCTTTCTTTTAAAATAAAATAGAGATGTTAGAATTTTTTAAATAATGACATTTGTCCATAGTCTAAAAATACACGTTAGGGACAAAAATAAATGCTCAATTAAAAAATCTTGCTTTGGATTTTTATGTTTCTCTTGTTGTTTTTTTCTTTTTCTAAAAATGCAGTAGATCAAACTACTATGTTACTGTATAAATAAACAGTTGTTTACTGTAGTATTTAGCAGAATATCATATGGTATTTAGCACAGGCTAATGTGTTTCTTTAGAACAAGATTCGATTAAGAAGAGTCCCGTATATACTTTAGTCAAATCTGGTGGATCGCTGTTAGTCTCGTAACTTCGCGGGGTAAATAGTCGTGAAATCGACGATATAGAAATAACCTTCTTCTGCGTGGATTTTGAAATAGAAGTTTTGAAAATTGGCGGATTTTTACCATCGTTAACGCACGATCTTACGTTCTCGTTACGCGAAAGAGTACTTTTCTTGTTAATTTACACTGTCTTTATTAGCAAATCTTTATCAGGCAGATTAAACTTTATCGCTTTTGCGAAGTCACCTGAGCTGCGATGAAGTTTATTTAAATATTCCATTTATTTACATTCGTAAAACGATATTTATTCGCGAAAATAAATATTTGTAATGTATACACTTTAGTTTTATAATTTTTTAAATTCTCTTATGTTTTTGTTAATCTGACTCATACTCGGAATTTTGAATTGATAATAAGAAAAGGTGTGAATGTGGGAAAACGGATGAGCGATCGATTATTACTCGCCGATGCCGATTATCTACTCGCTAATTGCAAATGTATCGACTATGGTGGTTTCTTCCACCATAGTATCGACGATGATCAATAGAGCGTTATTAAAATATATGTATTGTGGAATAAATACATTTCACATATGTATTATCTACATTACGCTGTCCACAATGTGAATAACGTCAATTATCATGTCAATAACACATACATATTAATTCTTTCAAAAATTCATAGAAAATCTATTTCTTCATTTAAAGTTACATTTTTTATGCTTTGATAATCGCAAAATTGTCAATTATTTTATCATAATTTCTATATCCTTACGTATACATTTTATTTTCTTTTAATGCACAGCTCTCAACAGCGAATGCGCCCATTAGCAGCAATTATATATATATATATATATATGT